GAGTGGCCTCACCAATTTAATCTCTCTCTCTCTCTCTCTCTCTTTCTCTCTCTCTCTCTCACACACACACACACACACACAATATAAAGCTTTCAGCACAAAAAAGGCTGCTTGTCATAAATAACGTCTTACCTTGGCCTCCCACTCCATTCCCGCCAAGGAAATGCCAAGCAGCACTGTCACTGTGATGACCCCGATGATGCGAATGTCATTTGTGGGGTCAACAATCACCGAGTTGTATTCCTTGTGGAAGAAACCGAACCCTCAGCTGTTTGTGAACAAATGCACTAAACAATGATGGTCAAGACCTCAATGGCGCAAGGAGATGTAGAAGACCCCAGTAGAGCTGGATCCATCTCATTGCACACAGACAACCCTGTGTAGAATCCCTGCTAACTGCAGCTAAGAATCTTGGGAATCCATGGGTGGGTTCCTAGATAACGGCACGGCTAGAAGCAGCTGGTGAAGACCCCAGCTTCAGAGATTATGTGAATCCACTTCTGTTTTTGATCTGCTCCTCACTGGAGTTATCCAAGGTGCTGAATCTCATTTGGGGATAAGACTCAGCACCTCCTAAAGCTTGAAAAAATTGTGGAACAAAACCCAGAGTGGATTCACAGCACTTACACAACTACGCTCACCAGCTATCACTGGGCAGAGCACAGACCATGAGAGCAGAAGGTTCAAAGCTTGGAAAAAAAAATATTTATTTGAAGGGAAAGTCGAGGCTTCCCCATCTGTCGGGGAGAAGATCTGGTTGTCAGGAATTTTCCATTCATTTCATGCAAGTCCCACCTGGATATCTGGCAGGGCCACCAAACAAGGAAGGCTTGCCGCCACCTTTCTCTTAGAATCATAGAAAGGGCCCCTAAGGCCACCGGGTCCAACCCCGTGCTCAAGTCAGGAATCCAAATCAAAGCAGATCCGACAGATGGCTGTCCAATTTTCTCTTGAATGTTTCCAGTGTTGGAGCGCTCACCACCTCCCAAGATCATTGGCTCCCTTGTCGTACTGCTCTAACAGTTAAGAGGTTTTTCCTGATTTTCAGCCTAAATCTGGCTTCCTGTCGCTCGAGCCCATTATTGTGCGTCCTGCACTCTGGGATGACTGAGAACAGCCCCTTCCCCTCCTCTGTAGGACAACCTTTCAAGTATTTGAACAGTGCCATCGGTCTTCTTCCCCGCGTGGTTATTGGAAGCACTCACCAAGATCAGGTCCCGCACCGTTTCTGCGAAGCCTACCGTATGCATGGCCACCGCTACGGCATTGGCGAAAGCAAAGATGAGGCCGATGGATCCACCCAGCTCGGGCCCGAGGCTTCTTGAAATGAGGAAATAAGTCCCACCTAAGAGATTCAGAATCCAGAATTGTCATTGCGGAAGCTGTAAGCTAGTCCCACTCCCCAAAGCTTGTCTGCAGGAACGGTGGGGGCCACACGGAGGGACAGCTCCTGATGACAGTGAGGGGGAGAAACAGTGGAAGGAGTGGAACTAGGCTTTCTGAAAGGATGATGGCTTCTCTCTTTCCCCCATTCCTCTTCAAAAGGGCCAGTAGGAACAGGCTTAATACAGGAGGAGGGATCAAGGCGAAAGCACGATTTCAGATTTCTGTAAAAGTGGGGCTGGTTAGAAGACGGATAGAAGAAATTTAGGATGTGTGCATGAGGGAATATTAAGAAGGCTGCCCCTCTTGAATTTGGGTGTTGTTTTTTTAAAAATGTTTTTTAAAATGGTCTTAAGGGTGGTTTTTAATATTTTTGAATGGACTGTGAACTGCCTTGAATCTTCCAAGGAGAGAAAGGTAACATGAATAGAAAAGAATAGTGCAGAACAATACATTTAAAGCTCAGTGAGGATTTTAAGCCAAGCCCAGATCTTAGAGATGAGAACGCGGGGAGAACCCACTCGCCTTCCCTTTCTCATCCTCAGGGACACACCTCGTGTGATTTTGGCAAGCCCTTTTACCTGATTTAACTTTGCCGTTGGTGGAGATGGCTGAGATGGATAAACCTGTGATGGTGGTCACTGTCACAGACATCAGAATGATCACCCAAGTCAGTGCTGTTAAAAGAAAAGTCATTTGAATTATTATTGTTTAAGGCCCTACTACTGTAAGATGTTAAGGACAGAGCTGCGTTTAGAGAGGAACTCCTGTTTTAAGGGGGTTAAGAGGAACCCCTTATTTGTTGCAGGAACAGGGTACTGATGCATGTAGCGTATGTACCAGTGTGTGTATGTTTCAGGGCAGGAGGAAGCAGAGAGATAGGGAGATAGCTCAGACATTTTCCATTCTTGCCTTTTTCTGATCTATGTTTAGATTTGTACTCTTAGGCTTCTTTCCTTCCTACTTATGCCTCTCAGGTCACCTCTGTTTTTTTCTTGCTTTTCCAATTTAGTTAGAATATGGCTGCCTTGCACATGTGCAAAACAGATCTAGCAGCTGATCGTTCACCATGTTTAGACTTCTCTCCCCCAGCACTTTCTCTAAAAAGGATAGCTTAAGTTAATTAAAAGTCCATCCAGGGGCAAAAAAATGGCAGGTGGCAATATGCTGTACAGATTATCATGGAGATAGATACTGATCCTAACCTGATGTGGTCCTGTAGGTGCTCAGAAAAACCCTAGGTGCTCAGAAAGACTTACCTATTCCTGCTTGCGCCGTGATCCATGGCAGCCGCAGGTAGAGAATCACGCCCCAGATATTGAGCATACAACGGATCTAGAAGGCAGAGGGACATGGGCTGTGGATAAGCTGGGAGAGATCACTGAAGCATGAAGGAGTTGTGCATGCAGGGGGATCAGAGAAAGGAATCAGGTTAGATCAGATACAGATCAGATCAGATCAGATCAAGTTTAATACGGTCATAGACCAATATCCAAGGGTACAAGTAAATGTATACAAACAGTAGAACAGATACAGGAACCAGGTAAAAAAACCTTGGGAAATTATTTTTAAAAAAACAATCACAGCTTTGGATCATCAGAAGTTTCATACAGTTACAATTGTCCCCGTCTGCACTAGTGGCATTTTCTACCTCTCTCCCTTTTTAAAAAATCTTCTCTTCTGTGCCCTAGTGATTAAAACCTAGGGAAATTATTTTTAAAAAAACAATCACTGCTTTGTATCATCACAAGTTTCATACAGTTACAATTGTCCCCATCTGCACTAGTGCCATTTTCTACCTCTCTTCCGTTTTAAAAAAAATCTTCTCTTCTGTGCCCTAGTGATAATGTGCTACAGCGCTGAGTTTTTGCTTTTTATGAAATGGTTTGGAGACCAGGTGCACTTGGTTGAGGGGGATTCACACCCCTTCAAGTGCCCTTTTCCATCGAGTCCGGCAATCACACTTGCAGGGAGTGGACACGTGAAATGTCAAACCGACTGGAACAAACTTAAACCATCCCTGCCAGCTGGACAAAATAAGAGGCAACACCCCACACAGAAAAGACAAATCCACAGTGCACTGGCCTGGATTGAGCTTAATGTCTGGATAATACACTTCAAGAAGGATGATGACAAATTGGAACTAACTCAGAAGAGGGCAACAAGGATGATCAAGGGGGCTGGAAACCAAGCCCTAGGAGGAAAGACTGAAAGAATTTGGCATGTTTAGCCTTGGGAGAAGAAGCCAGAGGGGAGAGTGGATAGCACTTTTCAAAAACTTTAGAGGCATTTTTACAGAGGAGGGGGAGGATCTGTTCTCGATCATCCCAGCCTTTAGAGCACGTAATAGTGGTTCAAGCAACAGGAAGCCAGATTTAGTCTGAATATCATTAGAACACGTAATAGTGGGTTCAAGCGACAGGAATTAGTCTGAATATCAGGAAAAAACATCTTAAATGTTAGTTCAGTACAGTGAAGATATTTTCCCTGATATTCACAGCCTTTAGAGCACGTAATAGTGGTTCAAGCAACAGGAAGCCAGATTTAGTCTGAATATCAGGAAAAAACATCTTGAATGTTAGTTCAGTACAGTGAAGATATTTTCCCTGATATTCAGCCCAAATCTGGCTTCCTGTCGCTTGAACCCATTATTATGTGTCCTAAACTCTGGGATGACTTAGAACAGTACAACAATGGAACCATTTACCTTAGGGGGAGCCTTCAATGCTGGAGGCATTCAAGAGAAAATTGGAGACCCATCTATCAGATTTAAGTCCATCTACATTGGACTTAATGGCCTTATAGACCTCTTCTAACTTGATTATTCTACAATCCTATGATTCTATGTCATAGGCCCATCTATCAGATCTGGTTCGATCCTACATTGGACTCAATGGCCTTATAGACCTCTTCTAACTTGATTATTCTACAATCCTATGATTCTATGTCATATAGTTACTGGGTTTTAATCTGAATTCATGTATGCCCAATTTAAAGAAAATTGCAAGGTAAACAGATCATGTGAACCCCCCGAGTTTACTGTGCAGGCCACTGTTCTGGACTTCCTTTTACTTGACGGGTGGCTTACTCACCATCACCCCCTTCACCCATCCAAAACGAACGGGCTCTTCTTGGGGTTTCGCATCCCCCTCAGCCGCTGTCTCTTCAGTTCCTTCTTCAGAGAAGCTGTTGTTTCTGTGGGGCTCATATCTCGGCGAGTGCTGATGGCACGTTTCCTGCTGCAAAACACACACGCACACACACAATCGGATCAGAAAAATAAAGACCAAGACATCCACGCTAGAGAGCTTCTAGTCCCATTAGAAACATTTTATTTTAAAATTGTGGTTTTCAGGATTCCTTGAGAGATTCTGCAAACTGCAGTCCAAAGAACTATTTTATGTGCATGTGTGTGTATATAAAATACAAAGGGTTTTTTTTAGAATGCAAGTTTTTTGCACTTTTGTGATTTTTTAAAATAAAGTCCTGAAATGCAAAATGGAGGGGGGGAAAACCCCACCTTGAAATCATGGCTGGCATTCTTGCAAAATAAGAAAAGATTTTCATCACTAGTCCAGAGACTGGAAAAGTTAATTTTCTGGATTACAGTAAAGCACTAAAATTCCTTGGGTGGTCTTGAGCCAGAGCAGTGGGAGGGAGTTCCAAAGTCTGGGAGCAGCCCCAGAGCAGGCCCTCTCCCATGCCCCATATCTGCAGAGTTTTCCCTTTCTGTAACCTTTCGAGACACCATAAGGACTAGAAGGATGTAAAATCAAGCCCCCGGGCTTTCCTTTCCCGCTGTGTTTCTCAACATTTAGCTTGTGGAAGAGGAAGATGCATGATCTCCTAAGCCTGCACATTTTGGCCCCTTTTGGGGCACCCTAATAGCACTATTACCTCAATAGGGTTCGGTTTCTATCCTGCTGTGGATTTTGCAATTTGTTTCACAGCCAGGATGATGACTAGTGCCCTTTTCATTGGTATTCGAATTGCTGGTTGGGTGGGGAACAAAGCAATGTCTGTCCTCTGAAGATGCCCATGGCCACAGAAACTGGCGAAACATTAGGAAGAACAACCTTCAGAACACGGCCAAAGAGCCCGAAAAACCCACAACAACCAAAGCAGTGTCCCTTTATCCCCTCATCATCACCCTCTTTTTACATGGGAGGGGCCCATGCCATGCCCTGGGACCCCTGTATCAAGACCCGAGATCCATCAGGCACTCCTGTTCTATGCACCAGAATTCCTTTGTCTGGTTAATGTGTCCATGCTGCCTCGGGGAATCTGGGATTTGTAGTCCAAAAATGGGTGCATAGGTGTTTCAGGTCATGATATTGCTTTCAAGAAATTTGCAAACTTGGGCTCCGTCTTCTCCCCGTATCTATCAGCAAGTATTTTCACAGTTAAACCTAAGATATATGAAAGTTTGTCTCCTGCCTAACGGATGTATTTTTATTTACACCAGGTTTCAGCGTCTTAGATTGAAAGCAAGGAGGGCTCACCAGAGGTGGTTGGACTCCAATGGCCATCATCCTCATCCAGCATGGACCAAGCTCAGGGATGATGGGACATAGTCCAAGTACATCTGGAGGGCAAGGGATTCCACATCAAGGCCTTAAAGTCCTAATGGGCGATGTGACTTCTTTATTATTTCTCAGAGCTTTGTTCATTTAACTAAATCATCAGTTCAATATGGTTCGCATCCATTTCAATCTCCTGCTGGAGGCTCAAGAAAGAAAAAGGACTGAAGTCTCAGAGAAACTGCGAGGTTGTGCATTCTCGGTTCTGTTGTATGGCATGGGGTAGTGGGCCATTAAATAAGCGAGATGCATTGGAACTGCTAAGATACAGGATGCTAAGAATTTCTCGGGAGGTTGACAAAGAAGTGCTCAGCACAATGAATGAAGTCCAAGAAAGAATAAAAATAAAAAAAGCAGAAAACTAGAATACCTTGACCACATACTGAGAAAGATGGTACACGGATTATCCAAAGTAAAATAAAAGGGAAAAGAAGAGTAAGGAAGGACAGGAATTTCTGGACTGGAGAATCTGAGAATCTGGCATGGATGCAAAACAATGCAAATATTGAGAACTGCTACATCCGAAGTCTGGCCAGGAGGGTGTCCGGCCACCGGCAGGGAAGAGGCAGAAGACCTTTCTTGCTAGAGGCATCCGAAGTCTGGTCAGGAGGGTGTCCGGCCACTGGCAGGGAAGGAAGAGGCAGAAGACCTTTCTTGCTAGAGATATCTCAAATTGCCCTCAACTTCCATGTCGTGCATTCCCCAGCTGCTAAAGTGACCAACCACAGTCTATTTTTCCATTTTGGTAAAAGAACACAAAGAGAGAAATGCTTTGGTTCCTGTCGTGTGTGGCCCGAGACATTATGCTGCCTGAGGCAAAGGAGCAGCAAGGGCCCCTCCATCCCACAGACACAGGCTGAGTGGCTTGGTAGACGAACCTTCCGTCAACACCCCATCACAGAGAGGACCATGTCCGTGCACGGGGTATCAGTCAGAGAGACTGACAGACCTTGCTCTATCATCCGTGGGCTGAGATACCAATGGGTTTGGAAGGAAGAGCTTGGAGGCTCTAATGGATGTCCCCCCCCCATCACTCCGTTACATGGTAGGGCCAGCCCCCTAGTCCTCTGTCCCAAAATACAAATGGGTGGGAAAAGCTACTGGGACAAAGATACCCTTTCTAAGCCTCTAACACCCACCACCACCACCACCACCACGTGGAAGAGTAGAGTCCAGACCTGAACGCATGGTTCAGCTTGAGTTTACCTTGAGGAATGAGTGCAGATCAGCCAGAGTGGGCCTGGGCTTCTTGTCTTCCCCGCTGACCTTCGTGTGGGCATAGTTCTCGTACGCGGGCACAACATCGACCGTGTTGTAGCCAAAGGTCCGGAGAAAGAGTGTGGCACTGTTGTGGGTGAGGTGGTTGGCTTGGGTGGTGTCGTACACAATGTTCTCGCCGGGGCCGTATGGATTTCGGCCGCTGTCCTCGGTGCTGATCAGGGTGCTGATGGTGAACCTTCCGGTGGAGTGGCCCGGATCGAAGGTTCGCTCGCTCACCGGCATTTCTGCCATTTCATTGTCCCCGCTTGTTGATCTGACTGACCCGGAAAGAAAAAAAACTACAAAGGAGGAGAGGGTGCCGATTTGGGTCTGGAATGCCTCATCTAGGAGGCACGGAAACTTTATACCCCGTGAAACCAGAACAAACTGACCCCTGAAAGGGGAAACTAAATTGACTCGAACCATCCTGAGCTGGTTGTTGGAAAAAAAAAATTAAAGAAAAAAAAAGCCTGCAGGAATGTCTAAATAGGAGCTTGCTGGCTTCAGTTCTAGATCAGCCATATGATAAGAGGTTTTGCATTAAGCCCTAAGGATAAATCAGCTTTAAAATGCAGGGTTGATGAGAGGCTGTGATGAAGACACAATCCATTCTGTTTGGGTACATTTCCTTTCTCGTAGGCCTGGGTTTGTTTAATCCAAAAATACCCAGCCTGGACTTGTGGGAAAAGAAGTAAAATCTGGTCTCGCCTAAGCAAGTCTTTCTTAAAATAATTTTTTTAAAAATTTACTGGGTGTTTTTAAGAGCAAACTTAAGAAAAAAATGACTGGGTGTTTTTAAGAGCAAACTTAAGACCTGGCTCATTAGGCAGGCTTTCACTGTTCTCATCACCTAATTATTCTTTGCCATCTTGAATTATATCATTACTTTTGTCTTTGCTTTATACTGTTTTTATTTTTATGTCTTGCTGATAGCCACCCAGAGCAGACTTCAGTCTAGATGGGCGGGGTATAACTACATATATAAATATTGACTAGCTAAATCACATTCGGGCCACCACATCATCAATGGAAGATATTTTCTGGACTACCTCTCCTGTGATCAATTTTCTTCTGATTGTGGAATTTAGCACACAATTGCATGCAGGAAAGTTAGCTACTGGGGGGTGGGGGACAGGGGGGGATTAACAACGGATCGCACATCTGCCTTATACTTCCAGATTTCCACAAGAGAATTCTGGACCCAGAGCATGGCAAGCAATTTTTTTGAAACATCAACATAGGCTTCCGTTCCAGAGCAGACCAGATAACGTATTGTGATCCTTTATTCAAAAATGCATTTTTGCCCAACAAACTGCCCCCCTCCTCAAAACATACAAAATAGGCTCAATGTTGCTGGTCATGCAGGGAGGTTTAAGCTCCAAAGTCACATGGCAATTTAAAAGCAGTGACAGATACTGATCTGGGGCGAAAAAAAACATTTGGAATTTAACACTGCAGCTGGCTCCCGCCAGTTAATTAGTTTTCTTCTCCAGTGCCTCTGGGGGGTGGTGGTCCCTGAATAAAACGTTTCGTTCTATTGTTAAGGTCTTACTCAACACAATCATATTAGTAGCATCTTTCTACTTCACTCCTCCTCACCTTTAAATATTAGTTCCTCCATCATAACTGGTCCCCTTCTTTACCCATCTTTAGAATATTTAGGGCATCTAGTGTCCGTAGAAGGCACATGGGTGGCAGCTGAGCCCAAGAAAATGAGGTCAGAAAATTGAGTGCATCTGATAGTTTACTGCAAGGGAAACAATTCTGAGGGTTTTTATCAACTAGAAATCTCTCCGGGAAAGTAAAAACCCTACATGTTCTTGACAAATGAAGAAAGAACAGGATTAAGCTACTCAGGGGGCTGTAAATTCTCAGGATGTTTCTCCCCCAAACTCAAGGTATAATTAACTTGTGAACTCAATCTTTGTGGATCCAGATTATGGGTTGCCACTCAAGAGGTTTGATTCCAGTTGAGATAGGTTTTAAGTGATTCGATTCTTTTTTTTTTTTAATGGTTTATAAATGCGGGATATTGTGCTTCTTTACCCATGATTCAAAAAGCCAGGAAATGGCCTGATCCTGCTGCATAATATTGCACCTTTGTTGTCACCAGGAAAAACGATGCCAAGCTTTACCTAATGAAGGGCAGCTGATCCTGCTGCATAATATTGCGCCTTTGTTGCCACCAGGAAAAAGGATGCCAAGCTTTACCTAATGAAGGGCAGCCCGAATGTTGAGGATACCCATGTCCGCAGTCAAGATGGTCTATAGAGGATGCCTCCTTGTGCTCAATTTTATTATTATTAATGCCATTCACAGAGACACCAAGTGGGAAGGAAATCCCAGAACCTCACAATACTGAAATGGCAAGTGGTTAGGGATGGAGGCAGTGTTGAAGGCTCTCGGGGGGGGGGGGCGAACCAACTGTGGTTTTTATTGACAAAACAGCATGAAAGCAATCCATGTAGGCATACACACAGAGACACTGATCTTAAGAGTAGTTTTATTTTTCAGTACATTCTTCTTGCTACAACAGGAACAGAATCAATAGGGAGAGGCAGGATGTAGAAGCAAAATGATACTGGAGCGAATCCGTAGCGACTCTGGTGCTGGCCGTGCTGGGGAGGTGAGTGGTATGATGCAACCCTGGTGTAGTGAAATAGCCGGATAGTAAGATGCGCTTTTTGTCGGCCTGATTCACAACACCAGCTGCAGCAACGATACCAATACTGGAAATCCAGCCTGGACCGTTGCTATTCACGGCAGAGCAGCTTCTCCATTCCTTGTTTCAAGAACAGTCACACTGCAGTAAAAAAAAGAGGAACGGAGCAAAACAGCCACCACATCGGCATTTCCCTCCCCCCCCCCACAGTTCACACCGTCTTTGTCTCCCAAGCAAAATTTGTGAACAGCCCTGCAACCCACAGGGTCACTGACAAGAAACAAACATGGGGAGTCATATACAGTGGTGCCCCGCACAGCACAGTTAATCCGTTCCAGGATTAACGTCGCTGTACGAAAACATCGCTAAACGGAAAGAAAAACCCCATAGGAACGAATCAAACCCTGTTTAATTCGTTCCTGTACAGTTCGTTCACTTCACACAAGCTGTATCGGAGGAGACAAGATCAGATTTAACGTTGCCAAACAATAGAATGACTGTACCGATCAACAGCATTTTGAATAAATGCAAATAAAAACATTGCAATGATCAAACCCAGAGTGTGCTATGGCTTTTGAAACACTGAAGGAAAACCTCTTTAATACATATATTTTCATTCTCTGCCTTCAAGTAATGCATCAAACCCAGACTGCCAAGGGAAAAAATGAATGGCAGCCCAAATTCTAGATTAAAATTCCACCTGGCTAGTGAAGGCAATCAACCGTATCCTGCGCACGCTTATCCAATAGTAAGACCAAGTGAGATTAAAGGGCCTTACCCTTAAGAAAGGATGTGAATTCACCCAAAACAAAATGCTTTTTGTCCCATTATGGGTTCAACAGATACTTAAGAGTTAACAACAGCAACAATCCAAAGCAAGCCAGTGTGTTTGTTACCCAGGGCAAAGGCAGAAGAATGGGACACCTTTATTAGACCAATAACAAATTTCCAACCACATGGTCCTGTGTGTGTGTGTGTAAAGCATTAAACCACAACCCCACAGTCTGCCTGTAACCGGCTTTAAACTCACCTTAAGAGGATGGCTGGCAGACTTCCATTGATCATTTTTCTACACTGTTCACAAGTGACTGGCGCACAGCCAAAGAAGGGATTTGTAATCCATGAAAGCTTGCATTAATTATTATAGTGGTCTAATAAAGGCATCACATTCTTCTACACCAGATTTAGAGGATCCTTAGATTTAATCATTTCAATGAAATGCAGTTCTTAGGTTTTTTATTTGTCTGAAGAGGGGGTGGTGGTGGTGGAGAGCGCATTCTTCAACTGAACTACAACTCCCATCATGCCTTACCACTGGCAGTGTTGACAAGGGCAAATGGGACCTGCAGTGAATAATATCTGGAAAGTTACTCATATACCCCCAGCCCTGTTTTTAACTGGACAGGCCTCTGATTTGTACGAAATATCCTAGTACAAAATATCCTAGTGACAAAAATTTACCGAGGCCATGCGCCTGATTGCCTGCAATTTCCAGAAAGCCAGGCAGACTGAATTTGAGCAGAGGCACAGACAAAAAAAAGCGCAGTTGTAACAACAACAACAGTAATATGCTGTCAAGTCAATTCTGATTGAGGGCGACCCTTTTTCAGGGTTTCCCCAAGCAGAGAGTACTCAGACGTGGTTTCCCCGTTCATTCTTCTGGGACTGTGTACAGCTGGCCCAACAGGCTGGCTCTCTTCTTAAAGACCCAGCAGGGAATCGAACTCTTAACCTCTCGCCGGGAAGCTAGATTTCCAATTTGTCATTTGAAGAGCAGGCTTAGCCTGTTCAAACGGCCCACCAGCAAATTGCTGATCCACACAAAAATGGACCAAATTCTGTAAGCCACAAAGATATGGTGATAAAATCAAAATGCCTGTTCATCATATGCTGGCAGACATGTAAAAAGCACGATTTCCTTTTTTTTTCCAAAATAAAATCAAAGAATATGACAGGTGGGAGAAGCAGAAAAACCCTGGAGGTTTGTAGACAGCCCCCCTGCCTCTGCGCTGCCCCCTTATAGTGCCATTACGGGACTCTGGAGGAAAAACACAGCCCTGGGTAAGGTCAGAGCAATAGTCATCTGTGAACTCACACACAGGTTAGTTCTGAGGGGAGCCCCCCCAACCCCCCCCCCCGCCGGCTCACATCCAAACCACTCTTTCTTTCCATTGCAGCTGTTTGTTTAGGAATGTTCTCCAAAGCTGTTCCCAATTCAGTTCTCACTTCGTCTTTTCCGTATCTTTCTAGCTTTTCCATTCTTTCTTAACTCCTTCTTTCGTTCTTCTTATTCCTTTTCAAACCTTGGACTAAGGCTTAAAATGGGCACCATGGCACTTGGGTCATTAAATAAAAGCAGAGCTGCCTTAACAAGATATAGAGTGCAGGGGGACAATATTCCTCAAAACTGCGGATCAAACATCTGGAAAAGAAAATAGAGGCCGTGATAGAGGCAGTTGCAAAATGGCAATGTTTTGGGTTGGAATGGAGGAGACGTAACTGAACAAGTCCAATCCATGCTTGTCACCAGTGATGCACATCCAGTCTTGGTTAACTTGAAGACACAGCTTTTTCATTGCTGGCAGGTTCTTACTGAAATCAGGTGAGCACAAATGAAACTGGTTTAGGCTGCCATGAAACACAGTCGGCACATGTTTGGATTATTGGTAAATTATTTATAGGTAAGAAGTGCTCTCCTCCCACAAGAAATATGGGGAGAAAGTAGTCCTTCTAGAGGGTGAGGATTTTCTAAAGCATGGAGAATGCTCAGAATAATAAATTTGACAGATTTCTTTCAGTTGGTGCAAAACCTACTCAAGGCAAGTTGCCTGATGGTGTCATACTTTTCAAGAACAAAGAATATTATGAGGTTGGAGGTGGGTCATAAAAGACTACTAATATAAGGAGCCATGACAAATCCCTGGGAAGACAAGTTACACACATTTTTGGTTGTCTTGCTTGGAAGAAAAATGCAAAGTGGAGATGTGATAAAGGTGAATAAAATAGACGGATCCTGTCCTTCCCTTAGAGTACCACGACTTGGGACCCATCGGTGAAGCTGAGTGATAGGAGATTCAAGACAGAGAAAGCAGAGTTAAATTACAAACACTCCTGAAAATATACTGTGATGCTGATAGTGGTGTTAAAAGAGAATTAGACACACTCATACAGGACAGAACTGCTAAGCACAGGGTTATAGATTAGCTTCAGGGGATGATCACCAGAGATAAATAATTGTTGTTGGAATGACAAGTGGTATTTATCGGGATCTGTTTTATAAACCTTGGGTATCATCCATGGAATTCAAATGTTGTCGGGGTAACGTCCTGAAGCAATCATCATTGAAGTATAGCCAGAGTGAGGACCATGAAACTTTAACACACACACACACAGAGAGAGAGAGAGAGAGAGAGAGAGAGAGAGAGAGAGAGATGTAAAATCTCTCCATTTCCCCACAGAGAACCAAGTTCTTTTAGTCTGAGAGCTGGCACTCCCATCTCTTAAGGCCAGACATTTTTAGGAACCTGCACGGCAGGGGTGGGTGCAGCCAAAGCAAAAGGCTCGTCCCCACAAGAGCAGCACATTTTCGCACGAAGCACATCCTTCTAGGAACTAAGACTTAAGAGCAATGTTTCAGCCATTTAGAGTAGGAGGAAATCCATACACAAAAAAAGCTGAGAAAACTATCAAACCATGACCGTCTGGAACATCCAAGCAGGTCAAACTGGGAACTTAGGACAGGACAAGTTCCAAGGGCCTTAGGTTGCCAACCCTTTCACTGGAATGATAATTCTTATGTTCTACTTGTCAGTAATAGTGAAACTCAAAGGGGGAAAAAAGTAAATCCTGCATTTTAAAAGCAAGTTCCTTCCCTTGAAAAATTATGCTAGGTTGCCTGCAAGGATAAATATTTGCTAACATACAAATATTGGTAAAATGGTATTTGGACTGGTTGACTTTTATCACTGATTATGTTACATGTCGCCATCCTATTAATTTAGCTTTTAAAATAAATACATTTTTATAATGATACTGCATATACTTTTGCCATGATTTTAATTTTAATAAATGCTCGGAGAGGAAATTTAGTAAAGTCTACATTAAATCATACTTAGGGTACAACTAACTCATGTAAAGTTGGGCGCTCAATCACAAGCTGTACTGCCCCCTTCCCAACGTAAAGTAGGAAAGTCACAAGAGGAGAAATATAATAACAGGTTTCAGAGCGACTAGAGGTTTCCTCTGGGGCACCAAACACAACAGCCTTGTGGCTCCTTGAGGAGGAACTCATTTAACTGAGGCACAAGCTATCACACTTATTTGATGACGTGGGCTCTCATCCACAAAAAGATTTATTCCATAATAAATCTGTTCGTTTTTAAGACACTACAAAGCCTTTTCTCTCTGGACAGAGCCAACTCAAGCTTCAATTGAGTTAGGTCAGTTTTCGAAATGCCAATAATAACTATCTCGCATGTCATTTTGGAAAATATGGATTGTCCCAAACCCACAGCTATGGAACTCATTGACCTACTGTTGGGATTCAGTCCCTGATTGGTCAACAGGTTTACAGGTATCAACCTGTGTTCATTCATGTTCTTATTTCAATTTGCAGTAGAGTTCCTTGGGCAACTTTTGCCATGCATGCTTCTCTCTGGGTGTGTTTACTTCGCCCAATATCTGTCCCACCTTGATATATGTGTGTGTCCAAAATCTCTTAAGACTCACCTTAATGTGTCAGACTACATGGGCTTCTGAATACCCGATTTGCAGGAGAAGTGGTTGGGCTTTAAAGATTCTTCTACTCTTTCTTCCGAAAGGACAAGTCAACCTTCCCAATGCAGCCTTCTCCAGATATATGTGGCTACAATGGCAACTACCCCCACCCCACCCCGCCCCGATGTTTATGTGCGGCCAGTGTTCATCACACCTCTCCACCAGTGATGCTGGCTAGGGCTGGAGGGCAGCCGCCACCTCGTGGTCACTGGAGAGCCACGGGCTACCCACACCGGCCACAGAACACAGACAAGAGCATGGCCGAACCCTGAGGCTGCTCCTTTCTGTCTCAGCCTCTCTCTGCTCTCTACTTTGGTTTACCACCTGAAGCAATGGACGGTGGGGAAGGTCAGAGACTATGTGGGGTAGCCGTACAGCAAGGGTGGTGTGAAAACCTGCACTGACGATGGCGGACGACACCTCCCATCAGTTCCAGCCATCATGGCCCATGGCGAAGGATGATGAGAAGAGTAAAAGCACATAATTTAAAAAAAAGAAAAAAAGCAAAGAGCACTGCTCATATACCATCCCATGTTGTTTAAAGCACTCTTTCTACAGTTCAACGATGCAGGTTACATGTTGTTCCCCCACCTCCTCCCCCAGCAAGTTGGGCATTCAAGTTACCAACCCTCAGAAGGACAGAAGGCTGAGTGAACCTCGAGCCGGCTACTTGGGATTGGCCCTGGGTCCCGAGCAGAGTTTTGGCTGCAGTAATGCAGTTGAACCGCTGTGCTAATAGTTGAAAGTTCACTGCTGCAGAAGGGAAAAGGAATTTATAGCAATGGGGAAAGGAGCAACTGGAAATGTTTCCCACTAATTAGTCCCTGGAACAAACAGAAACAGTTCCTATTAATTACAGCGTCTCTGGGTCCATGTTTTAGATTTTGCTCTGCTTTGTCCAAAATGTTATGCTACACAGATTTTGCTCTAAATGTTACAAAACTGAGCCCCATGTTTTGTTCCTAAATCTGGTGACGACGGCCACCTGTTCGAGGAAACCCTTCAGGAAAGAAAAGAAAGCACACCTACCTGTCCTCATAGGGTCTCTCTGCTAATTAACGGGGGGCCATCCCTGCACCCCACCTCCGAAAGAAGAAACATTGTGAAAAGGGAAATAAATGGAAAACGAAAAGAGAAGGGGAAAGTAAAATAAAATGTCCAAAAACAAATAGAAACACAAAGGAATTTATTGTGGTTGACAAAAAATACATAATACAAAAGAAAAGAAAAGAAAAGTAAAAACTGGACCCATCCCCTAAGGGTGTGAACAACAAGCAGCAGGTCTTCTCAAATGTCTAATTCATGAGGACCTCCATCTGCACCAGCCGAGCGTTGGTGTCTCCCGAGGTTCTGTAAGGTATCATCCCAGCGAAGGTGATGAGTGCCCGAGCTTGAGAACGCAGTTGCTAAAAGGGAAGAGGACAGAAGAGAGACAATGTTGCTGTGATCAGGGGCGGATGTAAGGATTTGTGGGGTGGGGGAGAGGAACCCTTCTTTGGGATCTGCCCTCTATTGAGCCTCAAGGGCAATGACTACTCATCCCATGAACCCTTGCAACTCCCAGGGAGCACTGGGCCAGTTCCCTTCTTTTTGAAATGAGAACGTAGATCCACATGGAAACTGGCTCTATGGGCTTTTTATTTTTTGCTTCATCTCCAGAATTCAGCTGGGACAATTCTTGCTGAATTTTGGGGAAATCCTCCCAAATATGGGAAGTCCCATGTTTATCCGGTTTACAGTGCAATGCATATCCTCAAAGCAAATCACTAAGCTCAGGTTCAGACTGCTTTGAGCGTCCTTGCCCAAGGACAAAAAAAAAGGGAAGGAGCCATATTGCCAATTTGGGATAGGGACAAGACATTGCAATCTCATGCCACGATTGCGTGATTAAGTCCATTACAGCAGTTGCCCACACCATGAGGTTTTCCTTAAAATTTATACTATACTGTTGAAAATTCAAAGTGTTTGCCTTTCTATTCTGCCTGTTTTAAAAGTCTTATATAACTCTAGAGTCCCTACAATGAGGCTGAGAACATTCCTAGACATGCACTGGATTCTATTTTAAGCAGAAAAATACACGTCATGCAAGTTATCACCGCCTTTGGAATCAACTGATAACATACAAAAACCTCTCAATATATTTTACTACGACTTCCCATTGAGCTCTGTTTACAAAGTAAAACAATAAAACCAATTATGGTTTTTATGTTTTCTGCTCCTGTGTTTATGAGGGAAATCCTTTAAAGAAATCTGCTTCAGCACTGAAGCTATGAAAAATGAATTAAAACACAATGGCTCTTTAAATATATCTCTGTACGGCTTTCTGCCAGAAATAAATGTCAGTGCATTTAACAAGGCCTTCCTCAGCACATCGGAACGACTAGGCACGGATCCTCTCCCCCATATTCTTTCTATCCGAAAACAATTTTACCTGAATCCTTGTTGCACTCTCTGAAAAGGTTAAAGGAAGCCTGGAGGTGCTGGTGTTCTATTTGCTATAATTATTTAATCAGAGACCAGCGCAGGAACACCACCCAAACGGAGGCACCAACCATTTCGACAGCAATTACGTTCTCCTTCCTTTCTCAGACGGCACAAAAGTGCCCTTGGGCTCTAATGAAACCCTGAAACAAATCAACAGATTGTAGGGCCTGCAGCAACACTGAAACTGCTAGTTGTGTGTTTTCCTAGGGCGGGCTGACCTGGTAGAGGAGAGCAGATTTAATTGTGAATGAGAGGGCGCTTCTCAACTCCGAAAACTAACATACAGGTGCGCGTCTTTCAGTGTATCAGTAAGCTGAAGCGGAGTTTGTCAAGGAGAAAGAGAAGAAGGGTAGGTGTGCAGAAGCCCACATGGCACAGAAACAAAGGGAAGCTCACCACAGAGGGGCACCTTCCACGAACCCAAACCCTCATGTGAATACGATGTCACACACTCCCAATATTGAGGACTGAGGTTATCAAGTTCGGGTGATGCAGACAAGGGATCTGTGGTTTCGTTCAGAGTCTAATTTGGTGATTTGGATTCTGGATCTGATTCAGATTGGTCTGATCTAATTTGGACCATTTCAAATCAGTATGATCTGTCTGAAACCGTTGTCTGAAATAGCTAGTGTCTTGCTATAGACTTCAAATCTCTCTTGAGCGGAGGATTAACGGGGCGGCAAATCAGTTTCTTGTGCTCTGCCGTCTCAGTAAAAGGACAGCCGGGCTCCTTTGTCCTTAACATCTCACTGCCTTGAAGACAGGACAAGTCATATGTTGCAAAACATTTATTTAGGCACAAAACATTTATTTAGACACAAGGAAGAGCTTTTGATTGTACATCAGTTCAGCTCAAGGGAGAGGGTTTGGTCTTGAATCAAGAATATTTGCTGCTAGAGGATCTAAAAGGTCTTACTGTTCACCTTCCGGCAAAGGAAGGCTTACCTTATGAAAACAGAAACCTCACAACAACTGTAAAATAGAGCGGAGTCCTGCGCCGTAAGTTCCAATATACTAAACCGACAACCTTGCTAACCAGAACAGAGGCGATTAATTTATCTCCCCGACGCCCCCTCTCGAGGGATTTAGGGCAGAAATACCTACCGAGTCTCGGTCTTCGATGACGCGTGAAGGCCTAGCGGGGGTGGCCGGTCCGGTGCCCTTCAACCTTTTGTACTGGTTAAACAAGATATTCATCGTGGCAAGGAGCACCTCGGACAAATTCTGCCTGATCTGAACAAAGAGACATAAAAGACGATGAGAATGAAAAACGAGGTGGGGAGAACGGTGAGCCTACGCGGTCGCCCACCCATTGGCGAGAGCTGTAGGATGACGTCTCCCGATACCCCCACACTTTGGGACACGCCAGCCTAAGACTGGGGTACATTCCATACGTATTTACGCCATCCGTCAGTCATTTCCTCAAGTTGGTTCTTTCTAACAGATTTCTGCCACTAGGAGCCTCCTTCCCTTATTCGTTTGGACACAGGGTACAGAGAAAGGGAGCTGGTGACGTTTCTTCCAACAGATTCTCGCCCCCCACCAGAAAAATACTTGGAACTTTGGCTGAAGGTAGATCCAACCCATGAAGGCCACCCCTGCTCTGGGGAAAGAGGCAGGCCCTAGGCTCTCTGCCAGCCGAGGAATGGTGGGAGAGGACAAAAGTAATTGAAGAAAACCCTCCCTGAGCTGCCAGACACTCCTGTACTCAGACAGGACCTGGGCAAATGTTCCTATTGTTCCCCAATGGGGACTTCTCAGTGGCACTGGCGGGGGTCTCTGTGCAGGAGGGATGAGGCAACAAAGGGCCTTCTTAAGAGTCAGAGACACCTTCCTGTGCTCCCTGTGCAACAAGAAAGACCGTGAAGGGGTGTGTGTGAAAGGCTTCTTACTTACTTCATCGCTGAAATTCCGAAAGGCTGCTACTCTTTCTTCCACGTATTCCTGGCTCAGAGGGACCAATTTGAGCTGTTCAATGATCTAGAATGAAAGACACATGAATGAGCCCACATAATAAGAAAGGAGAAGAGAGGTCTCACTGGAAAGGACCATAATACGAGGAAAAGTGGAAGGCAGCCAGACGAGAGGAAGGCAGGAAATGAGAGGCATGGTTTCAGTCAAGGAAGCCACAGCCTCCAGTTTTGTAAGACCTGTGGGGGGGACTACTGTTCATAACAGGATCTTCTTCTGGAGATCATTCATGCAATAATACGGTTGTATGTTGGAAACAACTTGACTGCAACATAATAAATTGGGGTGGTGGTGTTACAATGCATAGACTATGTATAGGATTCCTCCCCCTCCACCATAATTCTTTCTACATTCCTCCCTTGACCATTACACATCAGCCTCTGCGTACACAACAGGACTTCCCTATCCATGGGATCAGTATCCAATGAGTCACTTATCCGCTGCCCTGTACCATTACACATCAGCCTCTGCATACACAACAGGACTTCCCTATCCGTGGGATCAGTATCCAATGAGTCACTTATCCGCTGCCTGAAAACAATAAATGAAAAACCCCAGGGTGACTGAGGATCTGGAGTCCATCAGGGCTAGAATGATGAGCTTTCAGATCTTGGCTCCGACCTCTGGGATCTCTCCACCTACCCAGCTACTTTCTAGTTATCTTTGACCTGGCACCGTGATAAAGATTTCCCAGTCAGGTTGGCTGGACCTGCCAACATGGGCTCCTGTTGCGAGAAGACACGGGATTGGGCTCTTTGCCATGTGCTTCCTGAATTAGAAAGCACAGAATCATGGGGTTGGAAGGGGACTCTAAGGCCGTCGAGTCCAATCCCCGGCTCAAGGCAGGGATCCCAAATCGAAACAGATCTGACAAGAGGGCTGCCTAATTTTCTATTGCCTCCAGCACTGGAAGACTCACCACCTCCCGAGGTCATGGGCTCCATTGTTTTACTGCTCTAACAGTTAAGATGTTTTCCCGATATTATTTATTTATTGGACTTGAAATCTGGATTCCTGTCACTTGAGCCCCTTATTATGTGTCCTGCTCTCTGGGATGATGGAGAACAAATCCTGTCCCCTCCTCTGCAGGACAGCCTTTCAAGTCTTTGAAAACTGTGCTCCTATCTCCCCCTCCATAATCTTCTTTTCTGAAGGCTAAATAAACATACCCGATTCTTTCAGCCTGTCCTCCTTGGGCTTGGTTTCCAGCCCCCTGGGTCATTCTGGTTGCCCATTAAGTCTGAATCCTGGTTGCTTCTGCCTCTGTTTGCCTGCCTATGTCCTGCACCGAGTACGCTTGCTGCGAGCATTTTGGCTGCTCTTCATGGGAGAAAGGGTGCTGGACTGGATGGCACTTAAATTGTGTTTGTTCTTGCATTCCCCAAAGATGACTTGAAACTCACATCAAATGCCTTGTCAATGTGACCGGCATGGTATTCATCAAAAAACGTGATGAGGTCTAACAGAAGATAGAAGGTAGAGTCGATGGCCTTCTTCGTACTTATCCCCTGTGCTTTATATCTGGGGGAAAAAAGAATAAATCATATTTGCACCTGATCTATGGAAACTGCATCACTGTAAGTATGCAAATGGCTACTTTCAGGCAGCCTAGCACTTAGAAGGGTTATTATCTTAGGAAGGAGTGACTATTTACACTGTGCTTCAAAATTCTTCTTGCACTCTGCCATGGTGGTCCCGAAAGCAGTGGCAGGGAACATTTGACCCCCCCCTTGAGGCAGATGCCCCTCTTTCCCCACTGTGGCCCTGGCCCCGCCGTGGCTGGCAGAGTTGCTGCTGAAACTCTGGAGCAGCCCGACGGGAGGGTTGCCAGAGAGCCTTTCCATTCTGAAGACCTTGTTCCACCCCATCTTTGGGAACCCTACCCAACTCGTTAAGTGTTTCTGGAGAGCAGAGTTGCACTGATGGCTGTGGCAGCCATGATTCTGGCAGTGGTAGCCTAGGGTGCTGAGTATTGGCAGTGAGGGACGGGGGGGGCATAAAGAGGAGGTCAAGGGCCCTACGTGACCCACCTGTTGCCTACCAATGCTTTGTGCCACGCTTGTGAGGTGCATTGGACTTATTCCCCCTACACGATCGAGTGAAGGAAGAGCATCCGGTCTACAGCTCGCCTAGTGAGCTTATAGCTGAGATGGCAGCTGTTGGAATCCAACCGGCTCCAGGAGTCAGTGGCTGCACCCAAGGCCACCCCTCTCCCTCTTCTCCACATTCCCTTCCCACACTGACTACTACGTGAGTCGTGGCTTGGGGGCTGAAGATGAGTTCTGCGTCTCCTCCTTGAGCGCACCGCAAAAGGTGCTTCTCAGACCGCAGTCAACGAGGTCCGGATAGGCAAGCCAAGGTTTGACCCCCTCTTTCCAGGTCTTCTTACCTCTCGGCGATGGAATGTGCCATGTTCTTCAACCTCTCCTTGTTGGACTGGGGAGCGCTGATCTGAGCGACCACGGGACTCAGCAATTTGTTCATCAGGTCAAGCACTTTGTCGGGGTTCTGGGGAAGAGGCACAGGCAGTGTGTGTGTGTGTGGGGGGGAGATGGCAACCACAGAGCCTGGTTCCACTCAATGAAAAGCAAAAAAAAGCAAATCCCTAAAAGGCAAGCCCTGGGGGTGAAGGTGACAAGATTCAAGGGAGCTTCTTTACAAAATGCATAAGCCCTCAAACAGTTTGACATCTGAAGTGGCTAAAGTCTAGGAAAATAGGAGAGGAGCTTTAAAGAGGATTCTTGACCTGTATTTGTGTTGGGGTAGCCCTCGGTATAGCTTAGTTGTATACTTTCGATTTTATAGATCACTTTAGTTCCCAGGATTTAGTACTGCTCTGACTGGCCTATGTGGGAACCGAATGCTCTGCAAGACAGAATTTTGGCCTGACCCAACACGGCCTTTCAAATCTTCTTTACCTGGTTGTGATGGACAAAGAAATTAGAAAACTAGCAGGGAGTGCACAAGAGAGCAGCAACCTGAAAACCTCTCGTCCTTCATTCTGCAATATACCAACATGTTTTTGACTCCTTATGGCTCTGTCTGATGAAGGCCACGTAACAAAGGTAATGGAGTCAGAACTTCAAAGATCGGGGCCGGGAGCTTCACTGCCTCTGTCTTTCCTTTATTTCGCAAATCCAGAAAGATATGGAACGTCGACAGGGCTCCTGTCGGTCCAATGGCTGCAAATCCAGTTCCCATTCCAAGAGATCAGACGTCTTTCTAAATCATTCTGGCCAGCTGAAATAATGACATGGACTCGTGCCCCACCCCCACCCCCCTACCGACCACTGGCTCACCTTGGCAAGGTCATAAAGTTTGGCAGCTTCTTCAAACAGTCCTTTACTTTCTGCTACGGAAGCCACTTTATTGATAATGGGTTTGGTGTCTTTAGTGAATTTGTCAATCACTCCAGGCTGATGGTTATGAAGACAAAGAGAGATCATGGGATAAAACACTGGGACCACAGAACAGTTACAAAGTCTTGGACTAATCAAACCTTTTGGCACGAAAGATTATTTTCTGCTCCCCCTCCTCTGCCTTTTTCCTGTTACTTCTAATGCCCTACTGGAAAAGCTCAGGGTTGAGAACCTTTGGCCCGGAGACATCTTGATTTCCATTCTCAGAAGCTGCAACTAGCATGCTCAAAGATATGGGATTATGGGCACTGTTGTCCAAAGCACCTGGATGGAGGAAGAAAGACCCCACATACCTGCTTGGGCTAGTGGTCCTCCACTTAACAACCCTGAACTCTTTTGCTCTTCCCCCTTTTTTAAATCTAGAAACACGTGACTTCCTTATGTATGATCCGATTTATATGCTGCAGAACAAAGGCTAAAGGATACACCTTTGGGGACCTAAGGTGAGGAAACTGCTTCTTTCAATCCCTTCAGATACTGGATATGCTCACAGGGATACACACCAGTTATATCTTGCTTAGTGGACTGCGATAAGCTGGACAAGCAGCTACTTTAGAAAACCATTCAGGGCCCCCAGGGGGCTGACCACCAGATATACATAATGCACAGAACACAATGCAGATTAAGTGGAATTAGTTGCAAGGAGCCAAGGGTAAAAAAACTCAGCTCTGAGAAACAAGGAGAGAAGATGTGAAGACAAGAACAAGAAAACAGCCCAGCCAGCACTCAAATGTTGGGATGGGAGGGAGACTTACTTTTCGGCTGCCATCATTCTCCAGTTTTCCAAGAATCATATCAAACTATGAATACAAATAAAAACAAAAAGAAGTTAGGAAAAGTAAGGTAAGTGTTCCAAGACTCCAAGGGACGTTCAACGCTGGGCTTTAAGCTGTATTCAAATTAGACAATAAAGCCTCAGAGTGATTACACTCACATTTGCTTTAATAAAACAAGGGTACATTTTTGGACTGTGCACAGAGTCCACAAAGAATGCACGCAGCACACCAGATAAGCTAGTTGAAGTCCAGCCGATCAGCCATGGTGGGCAACCATCTTTCAAAAAAGCCCATTCACTAGAATGGATTTCAACTCAATAACATGGAATGCTGCCTCTAGAAGGGTCTCTTGAAGAAGCAGGCATTAGTCTGAAGCCAGGGAGGGGGGAAAAAATCCATTTTTTGCATACCTCTCTGCTTTCAATCACCAGCTCACTCACACAGCGCAGGAACATGTTCTCCCCTTGACTGTCCTTCTCATTCCTATAAAAGAACGGGAAATGACCAAAGCTCTGTGGATTATCTGTTTTTATGCAGCAGCTGTTAAAACAAGATCAGCCCTTACAAAAAGCTGCAGTGGAGTCGTGGTGGCTGAAGGACCTCACCTGAGGAAATAAAAATACTGCAGGGCTTCCCGGGGGTCGGTGGACTCAAACTTGCGTGTGTAAAGCATCAGCAGACGAACAAAATTCAGACGTCGAATGGCCGGGGGGTCACCAGCCTCGTGGCTCACTGAAATGTTAAAAGAGACGTACGAATCAAGCAACGGTCCATACGTCTCAAGCATTTGTGTGTCATAGTTTGGCAAACAAGATTGCAGGAACTACTTTTCCATCCCCTGCCATGGCAGAATTAGCAGCTGTCTGTACTGTAATCTGTGCCACCAAATCTCCAGGAGCTTTCTCCCTTTTCTTCCCTTCTGTTTGTATCAGAAAAGAAGCAAGCTTTCTGCCCAGCAGTCCTATAAGGCTATATAGGTTTAAGGCCTCCATACTTGGCAGAACGCCTTCTCCCACCTAGATCTACTCAAGTTACTTGCTATAGCCAGGAAAGACGGCTGAGGGGCCTGACGCCGAGAGAGGCCTGGAAAGAAAGAACAAGAAACTGGGCCATCTTGGCAGTGGCCCCTCAACTATGAAACACCTTGCCGCCGGAGGTGACCCTGGCGCCCTCGCTGGGTGTTTTCAAAATAACTCTAAAAATAACAGCCATCTATGGCTCAGAAGGTTTGTTTCATACTCCATAGAGATTACCAGTAAGGCCACACATCCCATGAAAAGACCGTGTCTCGGCAGTGGCCACACATCCCATGAAAAGACCGTGTCTAGAAGGGAAGGCCAGGCAAGGTCATTTGAAAGACTCACACAGCTGTGCGCTCTGCCCAGAAGATTTCAAGAGCAGCTTGAGTTCGAAAAGGACCAACGCCACGTGGACAGCATGGCAACGCAAGCGTTCCGTGCGAAAGAGGAAAGCGGTGGCGGCTTCGAACTGGGCTGTCAGGAACAATACTTGGAAGTAAAGGAAGGGCTGCTGATTCACGGCAAAATGCGATTCGCCTGAGGACAGGAGGAGACAAAAGGAGAGAGCTTGTCAGGGTTGGCACTTGCAAAGGTAGACACGGCTGGTCACAAGGCATCCATGCGGTGCAAAACTGAGCAAATACACCAGGAAAGCAGAAAAATCGACATTGTTGCAGTACATCTATCAGTGATTTAAAGGGGTCATCACTCAAAGCATAGAGTGGTCTATTAGGCCAGATAGGCGGGGTATAAATCAAATAAATAAATCAAATAAATCAAATAAATCAAATAAATCAAATAAATCAAATAAATAAATAAATAAATAAATAAAGCCTGCTTCGGATTTGTAACAAATCTGTCCACCCATCTCACTCTGCAAACACCACCCAATGTGCACATGAATGTATGTACATGCAATACACACACAGAGAGAGACTTCTATAAAATCCCATGTCCACATTGACTTGCCATAGTCTTCAAGCAGTTGTTTCTGGAACTGGGACAAAGTCAGTCTGTCCTGTGGTGCACTGGAGCCATCATCATCAAAGGAGACCTGATTCAACTAAACACAAGGGGGGGGGGAATGTGTTTCAGTTAAACCCTCCTTGTCCAATGGAGGAACGCTCCTTAGAAAAAAAGGAACGAGTAACAAAGAGCAGATAGGACCAAATAAAATCAAGTGAACAACACAGGTGTGAAATCTTGGAAAAGGAAAAGGAAATTTCCTGACAATGGCCTGGTGCCTTTAAATCTGTGGCATACAACTAACTCCATTCCTTTCTCAAGCACCGATTCATATGGCCGCCTCCAGCATGTCCCTTCTACGTCGCTTCGGTTTTTCATCTATACAAGGGGAATAGATGTGACGCGCCCTGCAACGGTGCCCTGGGGGGAGAGCTAGATTCCTGACTTCCTGTAAGCTCTGTAGCCAGATACCCACCTTAAGAAGATGACTGTTCATTCTACTAAAGGTTATTCATGCAAAGAGATGAAGCTGATATCCTGAGCAACTGTAAATGACTCTGGTGAGGAAGCTCAGGTGGCACACCTTCACCTATGCTAATCCCTCCAAACTAAAGAGAGTGAAAAAATCGGGTAGGCTTCTGGATGAAATGGGAATTCAACCTTTGAGGCACTGGGACACAGAAGACCCAGTCCTTCATCCCTTGAGAGACAGTGGGACGCCCAAAAGGCCGGCTCTACCATTTTGTTGATGGAGGCAGCTGTTTGTTCCGGTGCTGAAATGCCAGGAGTGGCAGACACCCCTCCCCCACCACCCGAGGATCCCGTCTCCCTTCCGTCCACGTGGGTCCTTTTGTGGCACCGACAGCCCCTGGGCTGCATCACTGATGCCATTTCCCAGCAACCCCGCCCGGTGTACCCTCCCTGGGAAACGCACAGAACAGCCACTATGACCTGGCGAAGAATTGTTTGCCGAAAAACGGTCTGGTTCCACCTAGCACCTCATTAGAGGGAGAGTCCCGAGGGTTGGGAGGCAAAGCCACAGAGAACGGCAACGAAAGGGAGACTCAGCAGGAGGAAAGATTTAAAGGCGTCGTCGTGGCAACTGTGGCTCTTCCTCTCTCGTATAACTCAGACCACTCCCTGGCCTCTTCTACATTCAGCGATGGAGAAGAGATGCGTGGCTGTGCAGAAGTTGCAAGCCCTGCTCACTCCTTCCCAGTTTTAGGAAACCACACTTACCTTTAACCAAAGATAGTCTTCCGTCTTATCCACCACTTCGCTGTGGTTATCAGTGATATCGCAACGACCTAGGATACAGTAAACGGCTCTTTTGTACGGGTCGGTGTTGTTCCTCAGGGCTCGTCTGTAATGAAGGCGAACTTTGTTCTCGGTGGCAGGAGACAATCTACGATCAAAAGAAGCAGTGTTCTTAAGACAACGCATCTTCAAACAGGACAGCCTCACGGGCTTCTTGGTCTCGGCCAAGCGGCTGCATCACGCTCCTGGCTCTAAGCTCCCCAAAACTCAGCCATGTTTTTCCTCACATATCTTCGGTGCAAACTGCTCAGAATGCAAAGCCCACCTTGCCCACAGGGTAAATAAATATGGGGAACTGCATTACCTGAAACTAGCTCCTTTCAAGTTCTGAGTTTTGCAGCCACGGGTTCAAAGCTCAGAACTTGTCAGATGGGTAACTCTGAAAACAGTCACTTAAGTGGCCCTAACGTGCACCCGTCCATGAGGATAACCTTCCCCCAGAACCAGGAAGGTTGCAGAAAACTTCGACATCTGAATCCTACCTACGATTTCTCTCCAGTGTTTTCTCTTCTACCCCAGAGGCATTTTCTTGGCCTCTTCTGGAAACACCCACCTACCTTTTGTCTTTGCTGTGTATGTATTCCTGGAACCAGCTCTTGAAATCTCCCAGTTGGTGCTGTGCTCGATTCACCACTTGCAAGGCTGCCATTAAATCCCCACATCTCATGCAGTAGTAAATGAGTGCCCAAACAGGGTGACCTTCTACTTCCCCGTCCTGGAAAAAGCAAACAAACACTGAGGATAAGTCTCTCTCTCTCTCTCTCGCTCTCTCTCTCTCTCTCTCTCTGTGTGTGTGTCTGTGTGTGTGTGTGTGTGTGTGTGTGAGAGAGCTTAGTTTCCAGAGGTGAAAAAAAATTAGTCCATCCAGCACCATTTCAGACTGTGAAGGAATGAACAGAAGAATGGTTCCAAAATACTCCCAGAAAACTGAGTGTTGAGGAGAAGCATTCTACGACCTCTAGCTTTCTCCTTGACAAGCTGGAATTTTTCAGTTTTCAGAGGCTTTCCCTCTGGAAAATAACTTACGGAATCACCTTGCACCAACTGCAGGCTTCCCTAAAGGGCAGCCTTTAGAGGAGGTGAACGGGACTGCTCTGCTCCTTCTCCCTATAACCCAGGCACACTTCCCTGACTCTGCTCCCTGCGGGACGGTGGGGGGGGATAGGATCCTCTGGAACAAAATGGCACAGGGAAATGCCTCCTTCGCATCCGGTTCACAGAAGCCTCTGCTAAGTCCCAGGGCCATTCTGTGAGCAGAAGGATGCTGTTTGGACACAAGACATGATCTGTCTTCGCCGGGTGGAGCTCTTCTTTGGAAGACCAGAGGGATCCACCACCTGGCGCCCTTGCAACCAGAAAGCGGCTTCAAACAGACATCGCTTCCTGTTTCTACTCACTGATAGACCCTCTAATTTCTGCACCTGTGAGCCGGGATCCCCTGAATGGGTTAATGCCATACTGCCTCAAAACGATGGCTGCCGCAGCCAGGGTAACACCTACCTGGAGTCCCGGGACAGACACAGGGAGCTTGATGTTCAGAAAACTGCGGACTAGTTGGTAGGTTCCCGGCACACCGCCCAGCTGCGCTTGGTGCAAGTTTCCAAAGACCGTCACCAATGTATAGTTCTTGTAACTGCAAGGAACCAGCCAACTGCCATTCAGTACAAAACCTCATCCATCCAACCATTTTATGGATTCAAATAACGGAGGGTTTTTCTGCCTTCCCTGAAAAGGATACTCGCAAAGAGACTCAGAAGTTTCAGAAATAAGAGCAATGGACATTAAACACCAAAGTTGGAAGAGTAAAATATTTCCATTCAGTTCTTTATTTTGTAATCACAGGCCCATGCAAAAACCAAATGCGAAAAACACACCCCAGAACAGACAAGGTCTCTAGAAGAATTTATATAAGATACAAAGCAGTGGCCTAGATTCTGTTGCTTAGTGCAGTAAATTGCACTCAAGCAGCCCCACTGAATCAATGGGGATCTGGTGAGTCAACTCCTCTGTAAGTTCCACTGACTGAAATGTGTCTACTCTAGTGACATCTACTACACTATGCAATAGGAGTTTGGCCAGTATATGTACTATAATAACTGAGAACATAAACATTAAAATCAGGTGGCATAATAGATTTCATTATCATGCACAGTAAATTTTCTATCATATGTAGCAATGTCAGAAAAGCAAAACAGGCTGAGGCACAGATAATTCCCTTCTGAACCTTAGAACCAGAAGAAGAAAAAAAAGAAATCTGGCTACTCTTCATTGTAGATTTACTTGCACCTGCCATGAATACCACTGAAAAGTCCCACTATTTCAAGAGAATGGGCGATACAGTAAAATAAACTATGTAAGTTCTTAAAGGAGCAAATTAAGCAATGCTGAGCCAACACAAACACAAATGCTGGCCAACAAAATTCCCCCTGTCTAAAAAGGCATGGAAAAAATAAATTTACGGAGTAGTGTCCGAAGCTCCTAATAGTGGGTGCCAGGAGAGCAGTTCCTTAGGGGTTGGAGGAGTGAATCAAAAGCTGATGCCTCATATTTGAGAAGATCTCACTGCACCTGAGCCACCACCAGAGATGAGATAAGTGCCACTTGGACGACACCTAGCAGAATAGTTGAAGCAACACAGCCGGGGAATTTTTATGGCCCCAAAACTAAACTTTTCCCAGAAAAATCTCAACCCAGCCAACATCTGTTAGTGGGGGTGCCCAAGGAAGGGAATTTAGGAGAGACTTTAATTCAAGGTAAGAATTCAAGGGAGCAGGACATGCACCCAAGAGTAGTGAATAACTTGGAACTATTGTTATATTAGTTGGGAGGAACAATTCCCTAGATGAACCCTTTCCCCTTCTGTACAGTACATTACATGGGGGCAGGCGGGAATTCCTATCACTTTGGGTCTGTCCTTCTATCTCAGTCCACCCAAAGGTTCTCACCAGAGAGGGGGGAATTTACCCACCCCCTGATTCTTCTATCCTCTGCACCCAGGGTGTGCTTAGGAAGGTGCCATAGTGAAAGGAAAAAGACTCAAGGCACTCCTTCTGCCGGCTTTTAAATTAGCCTCCCATCCTCTACACTTCTCGTTAACCTCAGCCAGCAATGTGAAGGAGGAAGGGGTTTTGTAGTCCAACATAATTCAGGGAAGCCTGGGAAAAGCTGCTTCATCATTATCTATTCCTTGCGTCTCGTTATTCATTGATTTACTTTATTAAATTTGTATTCCATCTTCCTGCCAATACGGGGAGTCTGGGCAGCTCCCAAAATTATTCAAGTCCAGATGCAGATTAAAAAGCAGATGCATGATACCAGCACTCAGATTCTGGCCATAAGCCTTAAGTCAACCCACGACTGCTCCTGAGCTATAATGGCTTCACGATCATACCTTTGCTCGAGGTACTGTAAGGCCTGCCTTACAAATTCCATCTGCACTTCCATACTAGTGCGGACTTTCAACGCATCGCTCGCGGGAACCAGCAAAACGTCGGTCATCTGCTTCACCATCGCCCACAAGTCTGAAATGTTCTGCGAAAGAAACCAGGCCAAGATGACAGAAGCAGCTACCAGGAAAGGAGGTTGCAAACTAATCTTCATGAGGACAGCATTTAAAATGGAGAGATGATTACTAAAGTGCAGGATGCTGAGATGAGAGAGAGCGGCCACACTGGCCAAGCTATCAGAACCATTCCATCCAGAGGGTCATGAGAAGGATTATGGGCCAGAATTTCACTTGATCTCCTCCCTCCTCAACTCTTATTCTTTGTGTGTCAGGTTTCAAATTTAGTAAATTTGCAGCACTCTGACTTCCAGGTTTCCTTGGGGGTGGCCGGGGCGATTGGACAGAAGGATAACTGACAGAAAGGTCCCAATCCTTTTTGGCAGCTCCTCTATTGATAGAGATTTGATTTGGGAAAGAATATCATCCAAGCTGAGACCCTTCTCTGTTTTTCTCAATGTCTCTCTCTTTCTTTCTTAGGCCACCTTCCCAATAAAATTAAAAATAATTAAATAATTAAAAATAACAGAGCTAAGTTAAATATTAAAAAACAATTAAGCGATAGGCTAATTAAAATACAACTGAACAATTAAAAGCAAGTAAACATTTCAAACTATTTTAATTTTAAAAAGGCATTCAGAGACTCAATCATGATTATTTAAAGCCTGCCTGAAGAGATGGGTCTTTAGCTGTTGGCGGAAAGACAAAAGGGATTTCCCAAGGGAGAGCATTCCATGACCTGGGAGCTGCCATGGAGAAGGCCCCCTCTTCCGTGTCCCCATCAACTGTGCTTGTGCTGGCAATGGGATCGAGAGGAGGGCCTCCTCTGAGGATCTCAAACACCAAGAGGGGTCCTGTGGGGAGATATGGCCCTTCAGGTAGCCTGGACCCAAGCAGTATAGATCTGTTCACAGCACTAGGAAAGGGGGACACCCCATAATTGGCCCCATGACAGAAACAGCTGTTCATCTTCCGTGTAACACAATGTTCACATTCTTATGTATAGTTTGAAGGGATCAGCTTTTTCCCCCTGGCCGGTGACCATCCTCTGAACACAGCGGAGCGGCTGCTTCAGCTGATTTACCTACACGGTACCTTATCATCCAGTTCAGCGATGGTAGAACAGAGATCCACCAAATTTGGCTGCAAGTGTCCATTCACAATCTTCTCGTTGTAAACATAAATCTGGAAACAGACGGAGAATCAGCTCTTATTTCCAACCCCCTCTACCACTCTGCTCTCCCCAATCTCTCTCCCCCCCCAAAGTGCTAATTGCCATAGAACTGGAAATGAGCTCCTTGGCTTTGGGGAAGTCCTCCTGCCAGCCTGCCTCCTTATTCCCACGCCTCACAGCAAGGATACATCAGGGAAGGCACAGTCTTATAAATGCTTCTCCTCATCTATTCCAAAGCTCGGGGGGGAAGCCCCAGGGTCAAAAGCAATTTCTCACTGTTCTGCCTGTGACGACGCTGAAGAAGACCTAAATCTGAGATTCAACTGACAGCCTAGCATTCTTGTATCTGTAGGTGGGACTTGAATGGTGTGGTCAGATGGTAAAAGACAATAAAACAAAGACATCCCAGCTTCCTATGAAATACACTAACAGCGCAGAACTCTGTCCTTGTTGTTACATACAGCACTGATGTTACCTGTCTGTCATGGGTTTGGAGGGAAAGTTCCATCCTATGGGGAGTGGAAGGCGGGACATCAGGAGGAGGGGCTGTACTGTATATATATGAGATGCTGGGAGACACTGGGATGTGACGAAGCAGCAGCTGGGAAGAAGGAGCTGTTGTGGGAGTCTGTGTGTCAGACAGGGTACTTCTGTGTGTCAGAGTACCAACCTGATAGGTTCAGGTGTCTGTTGGTTAGCCAGAACTGATAGGTTCAGGGTCTGTGCTTCAAGTTAAGGGTTCTGTGTGAACCAAACTGTATGCTTGTATGAGTGAGAATAAGCCACGTTACTTTATCCTATTCACCTGATTGTTTCAGAATTCTGCGGTTTGGCATGCTGGGTCCTTTTTTAAAGGAACAAGCTGCTGGACAAAAAATTTTCAATTCCTTGCCAAATTTCTCCAAATCGGTTCCATGCACAACCCTGGCAAAAAAGAGGTCAATGTCAGTATTCTGCTTCTCAGCAACAGTGATAGAGAAGATCAAACCAGACACTTGGAATCAATAGATTTCTCTATGGCAAGTAAAAAAAAGGAGGAAAATAAAAGAAATTAAAAAAAGGAAAAGGTAGCCATTCTCAGTTCAAAGCAAACTCAGCAAAGGCTTTTAAATAAAACTGTTAATTCCTACAAGAGTCACGTTTCTAAAAATTCAGCATTTCAAGAGAGGCACACATACACCATTGTGTTGAACAAGAGATCTATATGTAGCCACCTCAAGAGAAGATCCTGTATACATCACAATATAGCTGGCACAGTTAGGCTTCAAACTGAACTGCTGCACAATGAAGCATTTAGTAAGATATATGAGATATAGTTAGATTTGTCCATCATCAATCTCATTTCTTTTTTAAAAAAATCTAAGGCACGAAATGAAGCAGCAGCTTTTGCACATACTTGACAGCTGCTCACACCACGTATGGCTTAGTTCTAAAATAATAATAATCCAGGAATAGCAGCAGAAAAGGGTGAGGAAAGGAACTGGTAAAGGAATAGCACAGAGGAATACAATAGCTCTTTTCTTCCTTTATACTTTGGTGAACTCATAATTGAGTGACAGCTGTACTATCCATTACAATAGCAAGCAATCGCAGAATGCCTGTCTTTGGGGTAACAGATGACAACCCTAAGCATTGCTACAAGCTGCATACGTGCCTGTTTCATGTTGCTATCGCTCTGGACAATCAACCTTTGCGAAGCGAATCTAACCAATTCATTTAAAAATGGGCTCAATGCAGGGACCACCATTTTTCTCAGAGCTGTCCATTCTAGTAGCATGGAGGGATACAAATCCCATCAGCTCCAGCCAACAAAGCTCATGTGCACTGCCGGGAGCTGCAATCCAGTAAGATCTGAAGAGCTGCCCCTTGCTCTCCTGGTGACCCAGACCCTTTCAGAATTAGGAGAAATTAATTCTTCTTATGCTGTTTAAGGCTAGTTTGCACAACCATTGTAAGTGACTATGGTGAAACAGGAAAGGGTTTAGATGACCCAATATGGACAGGAGAAACCTTTTGATGTAAATCAAATCAGATCTGCTTCAGATCAATGCCTTAGAGGACTGGTGTCCACTTCTTCTTTCGAATCCATGCCTATTTCATCCTGCTATGATTTCACCAACTGTGCTGGCTGGGGTTTCTGGGAGTTGCAGTTCAAAAACATCCGAGTAACAAAGGTTAAGAACCACTGCCTTAGAGGACTAGCGTCCACTTCTTCTTTCGAATCCATGCCTATTTCATCCTGCTATGATTTTGGAGGGATGAACCTTCGAGGAGAATTCTTAAAATGCAACACCAACATGCAGCTTGAGGTCAGCCTTATTCATTCGTTCTGTCACCTGGAAGTATTAACAGGATTAACAGGGGAGAAGATACTCACCCTGTTGTGTTAAGCAAGCAAGAACCCTGGAAAATGTGGGTTCTCGATCGTGCACACAGCCAGTCTCCTCTTCAGATACATCACTGCTTGTCTGAGCAAAGCAACAAGAGACAAGGTGGAGCGACCTTCTCTCCGGTAACCCTGTGGATGATTCTGGATTACAGAACAAATGTATAGAGCTACTGACATGGATTTTGGGTTACCTCTGCAGATAAAGAGTCACATCTGAAACTGCTCTTGGCTTACTGGGGGTCTCAGGGAACAAAGTCAAGATAATAAGGTTCTCTTCATTACTCACTTGCCGAGCATAAGCCATCTCAATGTTGTCCAAAGAACTGCGACCTGGTGGTGGCAACTCACTGATGTAACTGGGCTATGAGAAAAAAAAATGTGCTGGTCAAAATGCCTAATACAAACCCATTTATCAACCGGATGGTGCTTATTTGCCAACCTCTTTTGTGATTGAGTACAACAGTGTTCGTTGTGACATGTTTTCCACCATGCACCAGCACAAAGGTGGCCCAATGGCCAGGAAGGTTGGGAGCAAAAACCTCTGGAGTGTCACAAGTTCTCCACCCCGACTCTAGAGATTTGCTTCTGTTTGCCTTTGTCGTTCCCCATCACCACCCCCTCCACTTCTCCCTTTTCCAATACTCATTTTAAATAGATTTGTAGGAAGATAGTTTATCATAGTGCCTTAAGCATCAGGTGGAGAAGTGAGCTGCAAGGGTGAACTTCAGTGATTTTGTAATAGAAATGACAGCCCTTCAAAATTTGAAGAAGAAAGAAAGCCCTCAACAAAGCTTGACCTCTGGCCTTACAAGGAGGGGGAAGAGAAAGCTTTCGAGCATTGTTCGTTCAAGTTGCATCCAATGTGCAGCAACCCTATGAGAGTTCTCAAGTCAAGTGATATATTTAAGAAGTGGTTTTACTACTGAAACTCCCCGTGAATTTCCATGGTCAACTAGGGATTGAACGCAGGTCTCCTGTCTTTCAAACAATATTTGAAAGGCATTATTTAAATAGGACATGATTTCTTGAAAATAATCTTACATGTACATAGAGGTAAGGTACATTAACAATCCATGATATCAGACTTAGGGTCTGGCTTTAAGATATTTGAGATGCTAGAATATAAAGTGATGAAAGGACACATGCGTTCGTTAGGCAAGTCCTTCTAAACCGGACCAAGGCAGTTTCCTGCGATACTGCCCAGATAAATTTCTGTCAATATAGCTTTACTGTTTTAATTCTCTGGTTTGTCAGTGCTGGGAGCACTGGAATCATCAGCAGAGGGGCTTGTTTCGACCAACCAACTCTAATTTCTTTGGCATCAAAATCAGCACTAAAGGCTTTATGGCTCCAGCCGCTAGCAAGAAAAACTCCAACGTTATTAAGGCCTTCTGGAGCTTTCCTCCAAGCACTGAGCAGTGGCAAAACTGTCGGGAAGGGGGCCAGTAGAAAGAGGTCCTCTGACATGACATGCTATGGCAGATCCAGGGTCAGTGTTGCTCTTTTGGTGGCATAAAAACAGTGCTCAGCATCCACAAAGGACATGAAAGAACTGGTTGGCTTAGGGTGCCTTCCGGGTCTACATCTCGTTGTTTGGAACACACTAAGGACATCAGACGTTGCCATGATGACAACCACTTCATACGGTGGTGACACTTCATTTCACAGGATCATCCGTATCATAGGTGATACAAGGTGAGAAGACCTTTCCGAGGGTGAGTTTGAGCTCATATAGTAAATGGCAATTTCTCACGGTGGGAGAAACAATTCCAATGAAAACTGATGGCAGTCCCATGAGGACATCTTCATGTTAACAAAAGGAATGGTGCTCCAGGCAGGTTTATTCCTATGCAGCCGGCTATATAAAGGTTACTACAGGCTGAAGCTGTAGAGACCGTTGCTGTTTTCTGCCCTGGACACTAGAACTTAAATCCACTATCTAGCCCCAGCGACAGTAGACCTATTGAATCAACGGCTGAATAATGACTTAGCATTGAGTAAATGTCCTGATTCAGCATGTCCACTCCAGTTAGGATCTGAAATCCAACTGCTAGACCTAACAAGGAGAGACGCGCTGAAAGACAGAGCAATTCAAGTCTTGTGTAAAAATCCCATTAATTTTGTTTTGTCCTGTTCTAATTGGGGAAGCAATTAGGATTGAAGCCAAGGGACCCAAGGCAGCTTCCATCATTAAAAAGACAATATACAAGAATCGGGAACCTACGTACTGTTCTCCCTGAACCGTCAAGCACTACCTGCTAATTGGTTCTTATTGCTCTGAACTGGATATTACTGCTCTTCACTAGTCCTAAGTTGAAAAGCTGGCTCTTTAGCTACCCTCCTTCCTGTTGTGTTTGGATCTGCATCTCTCCGTTGAGTCTCTCTATCCAGAGACATCAATTAAGGTTCCCCTTGACATTTTCAGTCCAGTCGTGTCTGACTCTAGGGGGCGGTGCTCATCCCGTTTTCAAGCCATAGAGCCAGCGCCTGTCCGAAGACAGTTTCCATTGTCACGTGGCCAGTGTGACTAGGGAACGCCGTTTTACCTTCCCACCGAGGTGGTACCTATTTATCTATTCACATTTACATGCTTTCGAAATGCTACGTTGGCGAGGAGCAAGCGACGGGAGCTCACTCCATCATGTGGATTCAATCTTACGACTGCTGGTTTTCTGACCCTGCAGCACAGGCTTCTGCGGTTTAGCCTGCAGCGCCACCACGTCCCCTAACTCAGCCACTTACATTTTTTAAAAAACAGGTTTTAAGTGTAGCCTGCCATGGAAAAGCAAAGCAACTACCTTTTAAAATGGCAGATCCACTTGAAGCCCTCGGAGGCCGTTGACTTTGAGGCTGAGAACAAAACAGCACATCAAGGGGTCCTAATGCTTTCCCCTCAGACACGGGGACATTATGTCAGTACCACCCAAGAGAGCAGACAGATCTCGTATTTCCATCTTTTAACCCTTTGGGGGAGATTATGAAAGGAAATTTTCTTAGTGCCGTTCTTCTCTTCCGCAGAGCAGAGTGACAGATCTCGTATTTCCATCTTTTAATCCTTTGGGGAGATTATGAAAAGAAATTTTCTTAGTGCCGTTCTTCTCTTCCTCCCTTCAGATGGTGACATCTGTGATCAAGAGATGGCACCCCTTTCACAGCTGGGCATAAAGGATGACTAGCTCAGAGCTGTCGGTTCAGAAGAATCCTCAGCATTTGATGTTTCACAGAAAGACTGAACTCCATTTCGCATGAAACCCAGAAGGCTGTCAAGAGTTTCCAGAAAATACAGCCAGATCCAGAAAGCTGCATCTACTGCCCAGCATTGCATCGAGGGTTCTTGCCTAGTCTACACTACTTTTCCTCCACATTCTTCTTACTGAAACCTTCTGCTACCCTGGTGGGACTGAACAATGAAGGATGCAAAACAGGAAGACCCCATAGCAGGTCTCTCCCAAAGGGACAGAACTTCTATGATTAGCATAGACCTGCTTCCCCATCGTCTCGGCATCTCATAAACAATTCTCAATTCCCCAAATCACAAGGGAGACCATAGGCAATTAGCTCTAGAAATGAGAACATAGGCGTGGTACATTTCTCCCGCAAAAGACACTTTGAGAGGAAAGCAAAAGGGGCAGAGAGGAGAATTCAGGACAGAACGTTCAAAAACATGAAAACATCAATAGCCAGCACTCTGTATGTTGTAATAACTGCAGAAGCGTAAGTCTGAATAGAACGGATAATACTCCACTAAAGTAAACTCTTTTGAGTCAATGGGATTAATATAAGTGTTGACTCACTCAACTGATTCAGTGGTAATCTTCTCTTTGGGGCAATGAAGTGGATTTAGGCCATAATGGGCTGAAAGGTCATCCCCTGAAAACTCAGCCTTGACATTTTTTTTAAAAAAATGCAAGTTATTAGCCTCTAGATCTATGGAGTTACATTTAAAAGGCAAGGCGCTGGTAAAGTAAGGGTTTGAGCAGAGGATCTCTCTCTCTCAGGATGAGAAAAGCTACATTAGGCAGCCACTGAAAACAGCAGCATAAAATATGCAAAATAAGAACGATTACGGGCAGCTTTTATCAATGGTAGAATTCAACCATTACTGGTACACCACTGGGGTTGCCTGAGGCAGTATATATTTCTTTTCTTCTTCTTTTCAACACAAACACGGTCATGCCTGATCATAGCTTCCTAAGCAGATCATTACGAGCAGCCTGCAGCCAAAGAATCAGCTGGTTGTTTCTACATTTGTGAACAGTGACAGATCCCCAAATCTTTTATGTACCTCATTTTCCTGAGTGAAGTCCAAGGCATCTTCTCCCGAAGCCAAGAGCGTATGAAGGATCCTCTGCTTCACCTGTTCCCACTCAACCAGCATGGATTCTCGATGGTACTCCTCGGCCATTGCAAATGTCTACGACAGATAAAATCAATGCAAAAAGCACCAAGCTGCCTGAATACAAGATCCTTCATGTTAACCAAGGTCTCTTGAGCCACAGTCCAAAACTATGACCACTGCACCCACACTGGCTCTGTCTAGGGGGAAATGTCTTTGTTAAATCTAAATCATCAATCAGAGGAGAGGATGTGTGCATTCTGTTCCTACAGAATGACTAATTTAAGCACAAATAAGATGGTTAGCTAGTCTAGATGCCTCTTTTCCTTCTCTATATTAAATGCCATTTATAGGAACATTCTTCAAAAGCACATTAAAAGCAGAATAGCGCTTTTGCACGAATAGGGCGGTATATAAATAAGAGAAATAAATAAATAAAATGTATTCATCTTATGTTGGCTGATTGCCAAAGAGAATGTCTCCCTTTCTTGGTCGCACTTGCTTTCTAAGAAAGAAGAATCAGAAAGAAGAATCATACCTAAATTGAGACAAGGCTAAACCAAGGCAAGGTTGTGTCCCTCATGGTTGATATTTTGGGGATGCGGGTGTATATTTATAGAGGCATCATCCATCTCTGGGAGCAACAACAGCCATTCAGAGAGAGAAAAAGACTTTGCTAGAAGAGTTTAAACTGCAGAATGGAATTTATTTATTTATTTATTTATTCTAAATAAGTCCAGAGGTTTAAAACAGGAGCAATGGATGGTGATGGCAACAGGAGTTCTGGTCAAAAGCAAAACAGGCCCTGGAAGCTGGAAGCCTGCCCAACTCCGACCGAAGGAAACATGACAAATTCAAGGCCTCTTTATATGCCTTTCTGCAACTTACCCGTTTCCTTGACTCCTCAATGGCAGATAGCAAAGCATTGTCTTTTTCATTTTTCAGGAACCCCTGCCAAAAGAAGCAGCCTCCGTCAGAAATTGGTGTGATACTGAAAGGCACATATATGTTAGAGATTCGCTGCACAGTCAGTTTAAACTTCATATAAAGGAAGGGACAACTTTCTCCAAAGTGTGCAACAGCAGAGAAGTTCCCTTTCAGTTGAAGCAGCTCCAGTGAAAAATCAGAGCTTGAGGAGAGAGAATATTTTCCACTAACACTCCCAAAATCCTCCACCAGCATGGCTAATACCTGTGCTGGCTGGGGATTATAAGAGCTAACAACCAAAAATATATTTTTTCCAAGCTCAAACTTTCTATGTTGTTTGCTTCCAGTGAAAGATGATTTCTCTGGTTTTCACAGGAATATCTCTGCATCTTTTTTTAAAAAAATGCATTAACCATCTGGAAAGTGCCCTACCTACATTTCTGTGTATCCCTGGACCCCAGAATCTGCTTTCTTTCTGGAGTTCACAAGCATTGGGACAAGTACTTGGAAGAGAGAGATGGACAGAGATAACCCTGGTTGATCGCGGAGACTCATTAAAATGGGAAGTCTACAATGGAACCTCCTAGGTAAACAAAATAAAAACAAATTTCCAAAAGCAAGTTTTCAGACTACAAACCCCCAGTGTCCAAGCAACTTGGGGATTCTGGGAGCCCCTGTACGGAAGGATAAGCTTTGCAATTCCCTGCAGAAGGACCAAGAATACTAAATGGGTGAAGCTGGAATAGTTGCCTTCAGTCCCTCACCCAGGCGGTATTACTCCTTTTTACTGCTCTGTATTATTTATCTATCACACACTACTTTGGAACAGCTGAACACAGCCTAACTCCTCAGCTAATTCTCTAGGCAAGACTCAACAACCATTCCTATATTGAGCACACTCTACTTCTGACTTCATTCATTCACAAAAGTGCCAACTGAAATAGGCAGCTGGCCAGCCATCAAACGGAGGGAGTAAGAAAACCTACTTTCTTGTATGTTTGCCATGGGCATCTACTTCGTACCCTTTCTGTTGAATACAAACTGTATTCTGTTAGATACAAACTAAGCTGTCAAGCTTAGCAAGAGTTAAAGGAAGGAGTTGTAAGGCCAGCCATTCTTTTTTCTGTGCCCCAGAAGAGCCAGAATTCATTGCTCCATGTACAATGTCAGTCCTTGCTAACAGAGCTGAGGAACATCCGAAAACGGCCATTCAGAAGACTGATTAAACCAGTACATATTGACTGACATATTGATTGCATCTATGTTCTGCCTATTCAGGCTCTTTTCTTTATCTTGTCAGCAACCACCTGAGAAAAAGTGTGAGTGGCTACACATTCCGGTGGCTGAACCTGACACAAGGACATCTAGTCCAACGACGCCATGCTTGACTGCCCTCCGAGATCACAATGGCGAAGAGGTTCAGAGGTGGCTGCTAGGGCACACGGGCGTAAGCAACTGAGGGCTCTGCAAATCAAGACAGAAGCAGATACCAGGAGGTGCAGCAAAGGTCCACCTTTCCCCCATAGATGTCCTTAAGTAAACTCCAGCATGCCAAGCTGCCTTCTCTGGAGATGAAGGATAGGTGACACTCGGACATTGCTTCCCCCCTCCACATTCCAAATGTGTTGGGATACAACTCTAATGATCAGTCATGGGTTATAGGAGGAGCAGTGCAACACACCTGGATGACCCCAGGCTGGGAAGATTGGTCTAGTCTTCCCAGGAAGCCCACTTCTTGGGCATTATAGTCACCACAAACTAAAGACTACATATGTCAAGGATGGGGAACCAGAAGACTTGAGGATAGATCCAGCTCTCCCAGGGTTCTCCATAAGGCCATAGATCATATCTCATCACATAACTCATATGGTGGCTTCCCAGATAGTCTCATTCTGAAAAGCTGAAATCCCAAGGCCAAGTCACTAGTAGTAATTTTTTTAAAAAGCTAAAATATACTGTACTACTATTCCCTACTTTTTTTGTCTTAATTCATCTCTGGAAAATGGCCTCTGAGAACTCTTCTGGAATCAAATTTGGCCCTTTGGATGAAACCAGTTCCTTTCATTTGATAAATGCAGTGATGCATTAATGCAACTTTTTTCACCTGTGTGACTAAAAACAAGTCAAGAGACACCAGAGATGGCAAACGTTCCGTCTTTTGCTCAGGCGCGTCCCTCCACTCTGTGGACCACACTCTCCTGTCCCTATAACAATTCTGATTTACCTACATTGTTCCTTTATGCCACCTTTTTTCTTTCCTTGAAAATAATAAGGGATGGAGTCAAAATTCTCTGAAAATTCCAGCTACTAGGTTTGAAAATAATATATGCAAGCTAAAGATATAATTTATTTGTGGCAGAAAGCTAGGATTTTCCTTGGCACAATAAGCATCCCTATTCACATCTTCTAAAGCACAAAAGTGCCAGGAGAGGTACCAATTAATATTCCACCTGGCAAGCATGTCTTTTGGGACTCTGCAGTAAGCAGAATCAAGCAACGACGGGAGCCCCCATCAGCCAACATTCAGGAAGAAGTAATGCAATTTGCCAGGATTTTCTAGAGAAATGCAATTCTGCTTCCTGTAGTCATAGTCACAATGAGCACTGTTGGTACGGTATATTTAGATCTGCATCAAAGCAGACACTGTGATTGATGCAAAAGCCACTTTGCTCTTTGGAAAAACCCACAAGGGTGAAACACACGTATGTCAGACTAGAAGTGTGCCTAAGTTTGTTATTTGAGATTTGAGCATGCTAAATAGGCACCCCTCTCTCTTTTTAAAGCACAAAGTAGCAAGACAACAACACATATACACATCATATTCAATATACGAGTATTACAAATTCTGATAATCTGCCCAAGTCCTAAAACTATATATATGTGCTGATCCTGAAACAAAGAAAAGAAAAGGCCGGCTATGAAGAAAACGTCTTTGGTTATTAAAACATTTAAGAAACACTCAAGAAAGAAGATAAGAGTAATGGTTGTTGTGGGTTTTTCGAGCTCTTTGGCCGTGTTCTGAAGGTTGTTCTTCCTGACGTTTCACCAGGCTCTGTAGCCGGCATCTTCAGAGAACAGGAGTTAGGAACTCAGAGCATGGACAGAGTTCCTACTGCAGTCCTCTGAAGATGCCGGCTACAGAAACTGGCGAAACATCAGGAAGAACAACCTTCAGAACATGGCCAAAGAGCCCGAAAAACCCACAACAACCATCAGATCCCAGCCATGAAAGCCTTCGAGAATACAAGGTAAGAATAGCTTGAAATAATTATGTACTACTGAAATTCTCTCATTCACAAAATTTAAACATACACACCAGAGGATGACATACCATCATAACACAAAACAAACACCACTGCACACCAAAACTATGGTGACAAACTACCTATTTTTGGGGTGCAGGATAGTTTTGTATGACTCATTTGAAGAGCTGTCCAGCCCACCCATGTCCAGTTTGCCAAGAGTCGGAGAGTGCTTGTAGCGCTATGGGGTGGTATATAAGTCCAAAAAATAAAATAAATAAATAAATTAATAAAATAAGAGGGGTGGGGGCCTTAAAGCTGCCCCATTCACACTGGAGGAGGGAGGGCACAGAGGTGATCATACTCCCTCATAGGATGGCTATACTATGTCTCTAGCTAAATCACATCAATTATGACAATCCTCTCTTTGAAAGTATGGCTCATTTGAAAAGCTGTCCAGCCCACCCACGTCCAGTTTGACAAGAGGGGTGGTGGCCTTAAAGCTGCCCCATCCACACCGGAGGAGGGCAAAGAGGTGATCATACTCCCTCATAGGATGAGCTACACTATGTCTCTAGCTAAATCACATCAATTATGTCCAATTTTGCTTCTGCACATACAAATTAGCATGTGCAAATTGAGAATGCAAATCTCTGACTTCGCTGGTCCCCTTTTTAAAGTGATATCCCCCCCCCTCTCTTTTGGGAATACCTAGCTTAGTAGATTGGAATAAATTATAGGACTAGTTGGTATTAAATTACACCCAGCTGGAAGGAAGTACTGGAATCTGGCACTTTCTTGCTCCTGCCAGGGAGCTATGATGTGTCCTTCTAATCTCAAAGCCACCTCTACAAATCTGATTATCTGGGATGTAAATCTTGTGCCATTCCTCCTTACCATGGCATCTCTTTAAAAGACAATTTTGCCATACTCAGCCAGCAAGCAGAACAAGGGCTAATTCTACCATTTGTGTTTGGCATCCTCAGGTTTGCACCTCAAAAGATGGAAACATGGAAATATAATGAAGAGACGAAGATCTTTTTCATTATCTGGATGATTCACTTACTTTTGCGCCTAAATGTTTAGAAATATAGAGACATAGGAGACAGATTAAAGAATTCTGAATTGCCTTTGAAACCTATTAACTGATCAAATTTTAACAATTGCTTGATTTATATGGATGCTTTTTTGAGATTCAAAAGGAAATGAAATCACCAATTCAATGCACAAAATATACTACTTATTGATAGAAGGAAAGACAAATTTTAATTCCTTCTTATTTATTATGACACTCAGAGCAGCTGCAAAATACCCTTAAACACAAAATTTGACCAAAAAAAATGTTTATCCAGGATACATTGCCAAATTAAACAGAGCATATCGGATACAACCAAGTTCCAACTGAAATACAAGCACCACTCATTATGATATATGCCCATTTCAGGACTGGCTGCTGGACAGGCCAACGTAACTTTGACATTGTCTTGCTACGCATCCATTCCTGTCTCATAAACGGATCACAACCTTCTGCCTTTGGCCACAGGAGGCCTAATTTGGCCCTGATGGGAGAGCAGCCATTGGACAACGTCCTTTTTGAAAAAGAATGGGAAACCTGCCGATCAGAAAGCAAATGAGATTAGAAGCTGAGGGCTGACAAGTCACAGGCAGGGAGCAAGGCCACGAGAGAGGCAAGCTGAGACGTATCAGATCCACGCCAGATAATGCAAGTGACAACAGCCGGGGTTACATACAGCAGCGCTTCCAAGGGGATCAGTGAAGGAG